GGATGCTGCATCTTCGCCTTTGTGGTGGGGCTGATCTTTGTGCAGCGCTCTGGGAACTACTTTGTCACCATGTTTGACGATTATTCGGCCACACTGCCGCTCACCGTCGTGGTCATCCTGGAGAACATCGCTGTGGCCTGGATTTACGGCACCAAGAAGTAAGGAATTGCTACAGGAAAGGGAATAACTGAGCTGTAACTCCTGACTAAAAACCCTCCTTCCAGCTCTTTTCCATGGGGCTTTTCCTCCAGGAGAAAATGCTCCAAGGGCAGTTATAGAGGCAGGAATTYGGTTCACTTTGATCCTCCTGCCCTGCCCTGGTGTAACCCAGCCCCAGAGTGGGTCCTTCTTGTGGGTATCTCCTGTTGGCTGTGATGGCCCTTTTTTCTGAGGTTTTCAGGTTCTTCTGGAAGGCGATGCTGTTTCCCTCAGTGCTTCTTGTTCATACGTTGTCCAGAGCGAAGGAGGCTCTGGATAATGCTCAAATGGTTTCTTCCTGAGGAATTTTCCACAAGTCCTTCAGGCTTGAGSGACACTGAGATGCTCAGCTGCATTTTTCAGGCTCTACCCTGAGCATCAGCAGGGCTCCTGGGAGGTTGTGTCTCACTCTAAGTTGGGGCACATCACGATTCCACGTCTCTCCTCGGCAGGTTCATGCAGGAGCTGACGGAAATGTTGGGCTTCCGGCCCTACCAGTTCTACTACTACACCTGGAAGTACGTGTCTCCCATCTGCATGGCCGTGCTGATGACYGCCAGCATCATCCAGCTGGGGGTCAGCCCCCCGGGATACAGCGCGTGGATCAGGGAGGAGGTGAGCGCAGCTCCTCCCCTTCCCCACCCACATCCCAGTTCAGAGCCACAGAGCCACCTGTTCAGCCCAGCTCTGCTCGTTTCTCCTTCCTCTCGTCCTGGGTGACTTCCCTGCCCATCCTCTGAGGGCACTCAGGTTTGTCCACGCTGTCCAGATGTGTCCAGACCATGGGCTGAGGTTTGTGTTGGCTGTGGTTGGCTCCCACAGMTCCACAGATCCTCTGTGAGGATCTTGCCCTTGACCTGGGATCTTGATCTTTCCCCCCACCTTCACCTGATATCCCCGAGGATGGAGCCTGGCAGGAGGCAGCAGGAGCTGTCTGGCACTTTGKAGATGTTGTACCTGGTGGGCATCTCCTCTGCTGCCATTAATATCTGACATTAATATCTGTCTCTTCCAGGCTGCCGAAAAGTTCCTGTTCTACCCAACCTGGGCCATGGCCATCCTCATCTCCCTGATCATCCTGGCRTCCCTCCCTCTGCCCCTGGTCTTCATCCTCCGGCAGTTCCACCTGGTGTCGGACGGCTCCAACGCCCTCTCCGTCACCTACAAGAAGGGCCGGATGATGAAGGACATCTCCAACTTGGAAGACAACGACGAGACCCGTTTCATCCTGAGCAAAGTGCCCAGTGAGACGCCGTCCCCCATGCCCACGCACCGCTCCTACCTGGGCCCCGGCAGCAATTCCCCCATGGAAATGAGCAGCGCTCCCAACGGACGGTACGGGAGCGGCTAYCTGCTGGCCAGCACCCCGGAGTCCGAACTGTGATGGCTGCCTGCCGGCCACCCCCACCGGGAGAGGAGGAGGAGGGCACTGGGGAGTGGATCCTGGCTGTCCAGGCAACAGGAAAATTCATTACTAAGGAAGACGAAGAAGAAACCCCTCTTAAAATCGTAAGCAAAGCAGCCATTTCTGAGACGACGTCGGGAAAGGAGGGATTGCAGGAGGGGCAGGACTCCTCYGACAACCCTGGGTGGAAAGGCAGAGCCCTGGGCTCATCTCCGGGGAAGGCAGGAGGAGCAAGAGACGCTGCAATACCTTTCCAAGAGCTGCTCTCGTGCAGCTCCAGTCTGAAGCAAAGAATCTCACTTTTCTAAGCAGCTGATGGTTGGAACAAGGACCTGGCRGCAGGTGGGAAGCCGACCACGCTTCCTCCTGCCACCCAGCGCTCTTCCCTCCCCGTCTGCCGTCCTTTAGCCGGGAGGAGTCATGGCCTTATTCCAACGAGCACAATTAATCATCGATGTTCATAGCACAAAAAGGTGCTGTTGTCGTCACCATCGTTGTTGTTGTTGTATCTCCTGTAGGTTTTTATAGCTGTGGACACACCCGAATAACCCTCCCCTCCCCCAAATTCTGACCAGGGTTGGCAGGGAGCAGATGTTGGGGTGTGTGAGACAGGGCGTGGTGCATCCTTGGAATCTTTGTTGCCACCAGCACAGGGGCAGGGCTGGGAGTCGTTTGGAGGCACTGGGGTGTCACAGCCACGGGGTGGAGTGGCTGGGATGCTCCGTGGGTTAGTGGTGATCTCCCTGAGTGGCGGGAGGATCCCCAGAGCGATGGTTTGGGTGTGTGAGCCTGGCTGGGGTCTGGGTGGGYTCAGCGTGGTGGAGGTCTCCTGGAGTTACTCCTGACGTGTGGGATGCTCTGCCGAACCCAAATCCCTGGCACGGCGATTGTCTCCTCTCACTGCTCTCTCCAGATGTGCCAGCTGGACAAGCAGAGGAGCTGTGGGACATCCAGTCCTACCACACTCCTGGTTTAGCTCTCAGGAAACCACCACTGACCTCCCTYCTTTGTCCCTGCTGGGGTGATTCTCTCAGTGATTCTCTGTGGATGTGCCTCCTCATTTCTCCTCGTGTCCCCCGTGATCCAGGGGTGGGCATTTCCTCCTGTCCCATCCCACAGGAGCTCACCTGCCTTTGGGTGGGGGTGACCAGCTCCTGGGGACTGCAGACATCCGAGGAGGACCACAGTGCCAGGTCCCAGGTCACCTCTAGCTCTTGATCCAGGCTGGGGAGCCCTTGTGAGAGTCCAGGGGCTTCCATGTGCCCGTCCATGTTTTTGGGGAATCAGATTGATGTGACCTGATGTAGTTTCTCCCCAGGTTGTTTAGGAAAGGGTGGGATCTCCCTGAGTCTCTCCTGCTGGGACTGAGGGTCGTTTCCCTGAATCCTACATGTAACCAAGCACTTTTGCCAAGGGCACTGGTGTAATCTGGCATCATACCCCTTTTCCCTGTGGCGACACAGAAGCAGCGGCCTCCTTGTACCCTCTGACCCCTCTGCCACCTCCACAGGCTGGGGGAGCGCCTAATCCTGGGTCCTGCTGGGCTCGGGTTGTGCATGAAGGTCTTTCAGGCCACTCAAGGCCACGTTTGTGGTTGTTGGTTCTCTCCTCCACTTTCCTGTCAATTGTTCTTCTTTCACCTTCATTCTCCTTTCCCATGGAGGTGAAGGCAGAAATCAGCCGGTCAATTTGCCGCATCCCTGATTTCTCAGTATCCCTGAAGGGGCCAGGAGGTTCCCTCAGTGACATCTCTTGTGGATTGTGATTCTTTATTCACAGTCTTCTCCACGGGCTTGGCTAGTGACCTGGAGATTCTTCCTGGACAATCAGCTCAAGCCCTTCATTAACCATTTTTTCCATGTGGAAAATGGAGGAATGGACTGAACCAAAGTTCAGTGATGGTTCTGTGAGGCACCAGGTCCATGAGTCAGGATCAGCT